TAACAAATAAACTACACATAGAAAAGACTTTAAAAAAATATTAAATCATTTTCATGAAAAACTGATCGCTTCACAAAAATTAATAAATAAAACAAAATGGTTTAATACAATAATTTATAAAATAAGCTTAAAAAGATAAATAAATAAATAAAACAAACTAAAATAAAATAAAATTAAAAATAATAATAAAATTAAGTTAACTAAAATTAAAAGTTTTAGTAAATAAAAATTAATAAAATATTAATAAAAAAATGGTTTTTAATAATAATACATAATATAAGCTTAAAAAGATAAATATTTAAAAAAAATAAAATAAAGCAAACCAAAATAAAATTTAATTAAATAATAATAAAATGAAGTAAAAAATACAAAAATTTTAGTAAATAAAAATTAATAAATAAAAATAAAAAGTAAGCAAAATTAAAACTAATAAACGATAAATAATATATATATATATATGTATATAACAGACATTAAACCAGCTTAAAATTATATAAATAAATTAATATAATAAAATGAAAAAAATATAAATATAGATAAATAAAACAACATATAAGATAAGTTAAAATAAAATTTTAATAAAATATAGTAAAAAAAGTATAATTTATTGAAAATATAAAAAAAAATTTACTGAAATGAAAATTAATTAAATTAAAAATTAAACTAAATTAAATTAATTTAAATTAAAACAACTTCATATTATAAAATAAAGTAAACAAAAGAAAATTAATCAAATAAAAAAAATAAAATTTAAAATAAAAATAAAATTAAATTCAAAACAACAATAAAAATGTGTTCAAAATCACGATCCTCTTAGGCCAACAAGACAATGTCAGCCAAGTTTGTACCACATATGTACCTTTGTATGTATAAATAGTAATGCACATACATACATACCTACAAAATATTTAGTACTAGCTAATGCATGACAGACTGACAGTTAGTTAGTTGGCCAGGCAGTCAATGGGCTTCTATAGTTGGAGCTAAGTTTTTATATAGACACATACTTATATGTATGTACATGTTGATATGTACATATTTGTATGCTGTTATTGATGTTCTACTGTCTTCCACATTCGCATTTATGTATGTATGTATTTACATACTCATAGCCTCGTTCGTGTCTCACCTTTACGTGTCTATTGGCAATTTCATTACTGGTTTCTTCTGTTGTTGGCACACAACTCCAATAAGCCGAAAAACTAACTGTATAGTTTGTAGTAGAAAATTTTTACCGCTAAGGTTCGTGCTACGGTAAAATTATTAACACTAACTGCATATATGTATTGTATGTACGTGCATGTTGGAAGACCCGCGAGCACGTCCACCGTTTGATGATCGCACACACAAGACACACACACACACTCACACCCATACTTAGATTTTTCCTATACGCATTCGCGTTTACCGTAATGCGGCTCACCGCTGCTTGCTTTGCTTACGATTCTGATGCTTACCAAACTTCGGCTCTTCTTACCAACTTCAGCTTAAATCATGCTCGGTTGAGCTTCGTCATTCTCGGCAGCGAAGTAGCAGTTCTAGCCATAAGCAGCATAGCAGCAATGCGGTTAAAATGTTGAGAAGTCAACCAAGTGTAGCAAAGACGGCGTGCAGTTGAGGTGTTGTGTAAGTTCTTGTGTAAGAATGAGAAGTGCAAAGAAAGACTTAGAGAGGAGGCTCAAGAATGAGCCGTAGGCCGAGTCAGCACCAAGTCCAATTGCGAACGGGTATTTTAACAACAAAAACAAACAACAACTCTCCATAACTTAGCTTAGCAAAAGTAACAACAACCAGCCGTAACAACCAAAGCCATAGTCAGTGGAAGACGCAGCCAAAGTTGTACGTGTAGGTAACTGAAGTTGCAGCTTAAAGTCAAAGCAACAAGCGGCTTCTTGCTGGCTTAGCGCAGTTATATTTTCCGTATTTGCGCATACTGCATACATACATACATTTGTATATACATACGTACGACTGCGCGCAGCTCTCTGCCAGAACGTTTTGGTTCTTCGCCTGCTTCGCTGGTTGACTGGCAATTCTTTATTTATTTGCTAATTATTTTTTTTTTTTTTATTATCAATATTTTATTTCATTTTTTGCTTGTGTGTTCATTCTTACTTGTTATTGCTGTTGTTTTTGTTGCTTGCGGTTGTTCGCGTATTAGTTGGATGAGTGTGGAAAGTGGGACACTTGAAAGCGCACCACGCAAAGGTGAATAGCCAATAAATGTTCAAAACACAAGCGCATGCACGTATGGATGTGTGTGTGTGTGTGTATGGAGAAATCTTCTTGGGGATTTCGCGTTTATTTATGTACGATTGTTTCTCGTTATTTTACAGGTTGAAATTGCAATGCTGAGTTTTTCTCCAACTCGAACTTCAACTTCAATCTGTTATTTGCTAATATTTGTTGTATTTACTGTTTATTTTTTGCTATTTTTTATTTCTGTAATTATTAATTTGTGCTTTTCTACTTAATTGCTTGCTATTATTTGCTGTTAAAAATATTCTCCTGCTTCTTCTTCTTCTTCAGGAACAAGCAGCAACAGTACTAATAGTTTGAAGCCCGAAGCTTTTGTACTGCTAACTGAGCCAATAAAGTCATGTTTGGTGTTGTTGTTATTGTCGATTTTGCAATTAAATCACAGCCAACAACAAAATAACAGTTTCACATTTATAAGTTAATTATTTTGATTTTTCGGTGCTTATGATCATTAAACAAATATTTTTCGCAATTTTTCACTACGGTTAGTACAACGGTTTTATGTCTTCTTTCGAACGGTTAAGGTGATTTATTTCGGAAATTAGTTGTAATTTCGAAATAACTGTTATTAGATACAGCTATTGATTTACAGCTACCCACGGAGTGTTTTGGCTACACTGCGATGGGATAAATACCGATAGCTGAAGAGGGAAGCAAGACGCATCTCAGACAAAAAAAAGAAAGACGCCGAGATGCGTGTGTATGAAGAGCTGGCCTACAAGGTTAATGCTCTAAGATTCTACGAAAAGATACGACGAGCAATCTCTTGTAGGCCCCCATAGGGATGAGTTGTGGGGAATGCCCAGGGTATACTGAATTTACGGAAGGCACACTTCTCCAGCCTGCTGAATAGCACTGAAAATTGTGTATCCGAAGATGGTGAACCCGAAACCCCCCATCGATGAAGATGGAAAAGACGTTCCATTACCTGACCATGAAGAATTTCGAATAGCCATCACACACTGAAAAAACAACAAAGCAGGGGGGAGCGACGTATTATCGCCAGTACATTCAAAAGTGGCAGGTATTTTGCAGAATATGGTCGGACGAAGGGATGTGTGTGTGCTCTGTCCAATTCATAGAAAAGGGGACCCCAGAGTGTGCGGCAATTATCGTGGGATAAGCCTCCATAATATCACCTATAAGGACCTGCCGAGCGCATTGAAAGACTAAAGCCAACCGTCAACAAACTGATTGGACCCTATCAGTGTGGCTTTAGACCTGGTAAGTCAACCATTGACCAGATATTCACAATGCGTCAAATCTTGGAAAAGACCCGTGATAAGAGGATCGTCACCCACCACCTTGTCTTTACTAAAAGCTCCGTCAGAATCGGGAAGGACCTCTCCGATGACAATATCTGATGAGTCGGCGTTACAAGTTTTCGAAAGAAAGGTTTTACTTAAAATTTATGGCCCTCTACGAGTTGGGAACGGCGAATACTGCAGCCGATGGAATGATATGAAGTACCCCAGTGGCTGAAGCAAAGGAAGATGAAGGTCTCCACTCTGTTTCGAGGAGCAGGTGGAAAGGATTTTACTGTTCAATTGGTTATAATCAGCGAAAAGAAGAATTGTATGGCGAAATATGTATATCCTTTATACCTATAGCACAAGTTTGCTGAGTTTCGACCGGAAGGGTGCGTTTTCAAGTTCTATCTACAAATGGAGGGACCGAAAGCTTCGAGTCTCCAACCAACCAACCGGATTTTCTCAACTCTCTTTGGAGAAATACTCTCCTAAGATGCTTTAAATGCGGTAGTCATGACAGTCCTTGACGCTTTAAGTCCCGCAGTGGGCAAGAGAGATATCTTTGGCGCAGTAATTGGAAAGATCATGCTCTAGCGTCTGTGTGTGGGAAGTGTTATCCTAAGGCCACTTTCTATAAGTTTAGAAACGGCACATGAGCACATGCTAGCCGTAGCAATTGCAGCAATCTAGGATCTGATAGATGACGTAAGGCAATTGGTAAAAGGTTTGGTAATCTTAAACGAGCCTGGTGTACTATAAAAAACTCATACCTCCTCATGAATCATTAAGATTTATTTGGTTCAACGAGAAAACAATTCTAGTCTCTAGGATATCGATAGTAATTACCAACGGTGATCATAACCAATTTCTATTCCAGCAGTGTTACCCGGACCCTACATGAATTAAGAGCGGCTCTTTTCAAGCAAGGGAAGGGCTGATTATCAAGAGTAAAATTTACTGAAGCTGACATCTGATATGTAAATCAGAGTTGCAACAAATACTCTAAAATCACTCTCCCGCAGCACATGAGCAAGAGAACCAAGTAATCTTTCCAACAGCACAAAATTCAAGCTTCGCTACATCAAAATAAGCGGTGATAACAACTTAAAGGCAACTGAAGAAGCTCCTTAGTAGAAAATATTTGGTCTGTGGCAAATCGGCTCGTGGACATTTGCTTGAACATTCTGCCAGAAATATAAAAAAAAAATCTTTTAATTTTTTCCCGAGGGTGCTAAAAAAATTTTCCTGCCCTCCTTGAATGTATATACTAGTCTTATCTCTCTGGACCAAACTCCTCCAAACGATAGCTTGGCATTTATACTGGAACGACCCGGATTTTTATCCGGCCAAGACTGTCACTCCCGCAAGACTCCCCAAAAACTACTTCGGGGAATATCTTTGCGGCTGCAGCCACAGTAATGAGGCTCCAAGACTAAAACCTTTCGAAAGGTTATCATAAATACTCAAAGCAAGGCAAAAAATAAGACCCACCTGTCATGGCTCCGCCGGCATTTAGGCCCGTCGAAGACGAGGGTGTTATGGCCGTGCCTGTTGTTGTTGTACTTTTACTTTGCTGCTGTAATTGCTGCTGTTGTTGTGATTGTTGTTGCTGCTGCTGCTGTTTCTGCTGCTGCTGCTGTTGTTGTTGTACACTACGTTCATTCGCATTCAAACGCGTCACAGTAGCCGTTGCTGTGGACGCCGTCGACGTCGTAGCTGTTGCCGTTACAGTCACAACCGTCGATGGTGTTAAAACAGTCTCGATAATAGTTGGCGCTGCCACCGCTGCCGCCGCCGCCACCGTCGTTTGATCCTGCACCTGCACTTGTTTAACAACCAACTGACGCTGCTTCTTAGCCACTTGCGTATGCCCAACATTAGACGCTGCATCCATAGCAGTCTGCACCACAGCTTCAGCGGTGGAAGTGGATGTCATATTGGCGCTGACGGGCAACAAACCAGGCGGTGAATCAAAACAAACATCCACCAACGTAGCCGAGGTGGTCTGCAAGCCAGCAATATCCTTCAGATCAATCCAACTAGCACCCACCTTATCCCCATCCGAGAGGGGTAAGCTCAGCACACGCGTATCTGACTCGTCGACGATGTGAAACGATTGCGCTGGCTCGATCTTCACAATAATCGGTTGACTGCCGGTGGTAAGGGTGGCACTGCTCGCGTCGAGCACTTGCTGGTGCAGTGCGGCTATTTCCGCATCCGCTTCAGCGTCGTCGGACATCTCCTGATCGAAAATCGATTGTTGCAACGCCTGCAATTGCTGTTGACGACGTTCGGCGATCGTTGTCGTTGTGTATGCCAGGCCACTTGTGATGGTCGCTGTAGCGGTGGTTTGCGTTTTCGGCGCTGTGGCTATGATATTGCGTGGCACCAGCTCGGTGCTCGTCGACGGCTTACGTAACACATCGAATTTCAGTATAGTGCACTTGTCAGTCTGCTGATATTGATGCTGGAGTATAGGACGCTGCGGTTGTGTGCTGCCAGCGCCGCCGCCAGCCAGGTTATTACCTCTCGGCGGTGAGTTGAATAACGGTGGCGGTGATGTGGCCTTGTTCGACGTGGTCACGGTACGCACCATAGTTGTGGTTGTTGTGGCGCCACAACTGGCGTGGGTTGAGACGCCTGCGACTGCGCTGTTAACCGGCAATGGTATAATTGAGATCGATGGCATTTTATTGCGAAAGCTCGTTGCTGCATGACCGTTATTGCTGCTGTTTGAAGGATTGTCGTTGCTGCTAGCGCTTACAGCCGTTAGAGTGTGGGTGATGTTATTGTTGCTGTTGCTATTGCTAATATTGTGCACATTCACTGAAGTTGTGCTGACATCGTCCGCCGTACGGCCACCACCAACACTTTTGTGTTCATGCTGTCGTTGTTGTTGTTGTTGTTGTTGTTGCTGCTGCTGCTGTTGTTGTTGTGTGATCAGCACAATGTTGCTGGTATTGCGCGACGGTCGACAGCGGAGCGTATAAGGTGGCGAGCTATGGGACACTTTGGCGGAGCTGGCAGCGAGCGTTGAGTCGATGGGCAACATTTAAATGCGTTCTTTGGATTGTTGACGTAGAGTCGAATGGGTTATGGTAAATTTTAGTCCTTTGGGCGTTTTTTAATTTACTTCAAGTTGTTTTTGTATTGCTTTGGTGTTTTATTAAATGATATTTTTATTCGTATATGAAGAATATTCATTTTCTCATTGTGCGTTTAGTTGCGTAATATCAAATTTTTATTAATTTTGTTTATTTGAATTCTTCGTGTCACGAATGCGTATTTCCAGTATGCATAGTTAAGCGTGTTTCTATGCTTCTTTGCTATAAACAATGAATGCAGTAACATTGATTTTCAATTTACAAGCTTACACACTTCGTGAGTTTTTCGTGAGTCTCATATTTTTCATGTTACTGCAAAAAATTCTTCCTTAATGGATTTTATGCGCAATTATATGCGTATGCTGTCATTTTATTCAGTCAATATTTACATGTCAGTCTATGCAAGGTGCAATACTCACGCGAAAATTCGTGTATGTATGTATGCGTGCATACTTTTATCTTCAGTAATGAGTAAACATATGTTTAAGTCGAGTTAATGTGTTAGAATTTGTATTAAATGTTACATGCATATGCCACTGCACAAATTTCCTTTGCGTGAGTTTTTCGTGAGTATCGAATTCACTTTTCTTGACTCAATGCTCGGCGTTCTTGTGCTTATGTATACTTTTTCTATGCATTTATATGTATATTGTAAATATAGTGCTTGCGTGAGTATACGTGAGAGCAGTTTTTTTTTAATTATTTATTAATATTAATTTTATGTCAGTTATTAGTTTTTTGTTTTTTACTTTTTGTGCGCCTATTCGGGATTTAAAATTTCGTGATTTTGCGTGATTATATATAAATGCTATTTGAATGCAGAGTTATCACGTTTGTATGCGTGCTTAAAATGTTGCTATTTCGTATTTTACGTATTTTATGCAGTCGCTTTTGGTTATTGAAAGCACAATTTTTAAAATTCACGCGTGACACACGATTTTGTTGTTGCGTTGAATTCAAAAAGTCAATTTTTACTTTTACTTTTCCTACAATACGATTTTCGCTGTAAGTTCTAATAGTCTTTGCTCTTCGTATACATATGTAAATGTGTAGTGTTTGCGTGAGTGATCGTGATTTTCTATTCAATTTTCGTGATTTCTGCGTGCGTCGACTAAATATCATTATTCAGCAACATTTTCGTATATTCGTGAAATACCGCATGCAGTCGATAATAATGAGAGTCAAAAAAATTTAATTCCATATTTTGAAATTTTCGTTCGATTTTTCGCTCTGTTTTTTAACGGTTTTTCACTTTTTTTGGAGCACACCAAGCATTTTTACACTGCGTGAGTGTTGCGTGACGTCACTTTTTCTTGATTTACACCTCTTTTCACATTGCCTTCTATAAATTTATAAGCACTTGCTACATTGTTTGCATTCTCCTATAACCACATATACATTTTCACGTTGCGTGCACGCATTTATTGTGCAACAATCTGTTTAATATTATGCATAATATTTTTTTAGTGCACAATTTTCACACTCAACTCATAAATCTCTTCAAATGTGCGCTGGAAAATTTCGTGTCACGAAAAAAATTTTGCCGAAAATGTGTGAAATTTTTTTATTTTTGCTTAATTTGTACTCATACGTATGTGTCTATACTCTGCTCATTCTTCCGTCTACAACAACAATCTTCTTCGTGGGAGCGATTAGTGTATATTATTCAATGGTTTTTATTTTAGTTTTATAAACAATTTTAAGTATTTTTAGTTTAAATTCACTTCACATATGTAACTGTTAATTTTTATTTATTTATTTATTTATTCATTGCATATATGTATATATAGATAATTTTCCATTAAATTTTCCATTAGAAGTTGATGGCGTCTACGTGTATTTGTATATAATATATAATTATAGTATTTATATGCACGAATATGTGTTTATATGTATGTAGTTATGCAGGCAATTATGATTATTAGCTTTTCAATAATTGATATTTATGTATATATGTAGCGCTTTTTAATTTATTACTTTCCATATATGTATGTATGTACTTAAGTAGTTGAATTATATTAGTTTAAAATTAATTTAACGCATTTAAAATGTTTTACATTTACATTTGTATATATAAATTTATTTATTTTTTGTTTTTTGTAGAAAAATTGCCGATTAGTCTCTTCATTTCATGCCAGTACAAGTTGTTTGAACTAGTTTTTTTTTTATTCATACAAGTATATGAGTACATCTACAGGGTTATATGTATGTAAATACGAATATTTTAATTTTATTTTTATTTTTAATTTATTTTTTTTTTTGCGTATTCGCTTTGCTTTAATTTTTAGAGATCTTTCGTTTGCCAAGTAATAATTTCGATTTTAATATAAGCGTATATATATATATTTATATATGTATATATATTGAAAGTTCAGTTACATAATATATTTGTTTTATTTACAATAATTATTCATTATATATTCTCATTACACCTTTATTCACATACACTTTTCTTCTGGCAGTTTGGGTAACAATGCGACACTGAGAGATTTGAATGCTGGAATGCGTGAACTTTTACTGAAATGTGGTTAATGTTATTTTTTTATTATTCTTTTTTGAATTTTTTCTACTTTATTTATTTTTTTTATTATTTTTTTATGATTTTATGGCTGCTATTAATGTACTTGTATAACGTATGGGATATATGTATGCTGCTATTTATGTATCAATGTTTACTACTTTTTAATTATTTTATATATTTTTAAATTTTAATAAATTTCTTACTATTTATTTTTATTTTTATTTTTTTTTTATTTNTTTTTTTTTTTTTTTTTTTTTTTTTTTTTTTTTTTTTTTTTTTTGTTTAATTAAAAGCACTCTTTTTCTATAACTTAATTACATTCAGTCGAGTTTTTTGGTTTTCAAGTCTTATGCACTTTTTCTTCCATATTTTCCAAAACGTTTGCTGTTAAAAAATGTTTGTTTTTAATATTAACTTATATTAACTATTATTAAAGAAAAAATAATTATCAATATGATGTTTAAAGCTCTCAATTAAATCATGATCTCAAGTAAGACTAGTTTCAATTGAAATGACTTGTGTAAGTTTCTTGTTTTTTGCTATAAAAAAAATTATGCACATACATATGTAAATGTATGTAAATTCCCAATGAAAATTTCAAATTTCGCACTTATTTCACTTCAATCAAATCGAGTCTTACCCAAAAGCAATATATAATATGTGGCGCCAAACTTCACATATAATATTTAATTCCTTTTAATTTAATTTATTCCATAAGAATAAGATAAAAGAAAACGAAATAAAATTAATTTTAATATTTTTCATTTCTTTTAATGATTTCTTATTTTATTTTTTAAATTATTTCATATATTTTTAATTTATTTTCATAAAAATTAATAAGGAAAAAATAACCCTTTTTTATTGTGTTTCATTAATTATTTACTGAGTTTATTGAAATTTTATTTTATTCAAAATTATTCTATTAGCTTTCATGTATTTTTTTACTTCGTTTTATTTATTTTTCTTTATTTTATTTTAATTTATTTAAAATGAGTTAATTTAATTAAATTTAAATTTATTGTACTTTATTTTATTTAAAGTTATTTTATTTTAATTTTCATATACCTAAATTTTAAGTATTTTATATTATTCAATTTTATTTAATTATTTTTAATTAATTTTTGTAATTCTTTTACTTCACTTCATTTGATTTTCATTAATTTGCTATATGTCGCTTATCATTAATTAATTAAATTTAATTTCAATAAATTTTATTCCAATTCTAGTCATTCTAACTTTTATTTAATTTAATTTAATTAAACTTTTTTTGTTATATTTTTCAAAATTATTCAAGTTAATTTTATTTATTTTTTTATTTCAATTTATTTATTTTTCTTTATTTTATTTTAATTTATTTAAAATGAGTTAATTTAATTTAATTCAATTTAAATTAATTGTACATTATTTTTTTTAAGTTGTTTTATTTTATTTTTTATTTATTTAATTTCATGTATTTTATATTATTCAATTTTATTTAATTATTTTTAATTAATTTTTGTAATTGAAGTGATGTAATTCAATTATTCAGAAATTGAATAAAATTTATTTCAATAATTTTTATTTAAATTTTTTCCGAATTCATGTCATTCTAACTTTTTTTAATTTATTTAGTTTTAAATTATTTTATTTTATGTATTTTTCTTTTTTTGTTATATTCTTAAAAATTGATCTATTTGATTTTATTTACTTTTTTATTTCATGCTATTTATTTTTCTTTATTTTATTTTATTTAAAATTAGTTTTTTTAATTTAATTAAATTTAAATAATTGTTCTTTATTTTATTTGGAGTTATTTAGTTTTAATTTTTATTAACTTAATTTCATTTATTATATATTATTAAATTTTATATTATCTGAATAAATTCATTCTATTAATTTTTTTTTGATATAATCTAACTTTTGCATTTAAAATTACTTTACTTAAAATAATTTTATTTGATATAAAATCAAATCTCTTATTTATTATTTATTGTTATTATTTTTAGCTATTTTTTATAAATTTTTGTATTTGATTTTATTTTACTTGTTATCTTTATTAATAAAATCTTTTATATTTTTCTTTAATTTTAATTCATTTAAATTATTTTACTATTTTATTTCATTTTATTTTATTTCCCTTAATTTTATTTTATTTTACCTAATATAAATTTTTTTTTATTTTATTTTATTTGATTTAGCTTTTATTTTACTTTAACATTAATTACTTTTGTAATATTCAATTTAAGTTTATATTAATTTATTGCAATTTATGCAACTATTTTCATTTATTTTAGTGTAATTTACTTTTGTACTACTACTTAAGTTAGCTTAATTTTATTTCATATTTTTTTATTTTATAATTTTTTTATTTATTTTTTTTATATATTTATTTTATTTTATTTCATTATAATTTTATTTCTATTTTTTATTTTATTTTATTTTTTTTATTTTGTGTTGTTTTCTTTATTTTGATTCATTTTATTTTAGATTATTGTCGTCTATTTTATTTTTTTTTATTCATTATAATTAAATTTAATTTTGTTACTTCGTTTTATTTTATATAATTTTTCTTTATTTATTTATTTATTTTTTTTAGTTAAAATAAAATATGTCTTTTGTATACGCTTCTTACTTTTTCTTACGTTTTGAGTTATTTTTGTAGTTTTGTCTGTTTTTCACCACACTTTTCAGTTTTAATCAAATTCTCTTTCACCGAAAAAAGTGTCAGTTCTACGAAGAAAAGCTTAAGGTAAAACTTAATTGTTTTTCATTTTTGTTTTTATTCCTTCTTCACTAAATCATTTCGTTAATAGTTAATGTTTTGATTTCTATTGTTCTTTATAGTTTTCCTCTTTCTTCCTTCTTCCTTTTATTTACTATTCGCGCAGTGGTGAGTTCCTTGCACTTTTCATTTACTTTTCCGAACAATTCATGATTTGTTGTAGAGATTTGAAATAAATTAATTTTTTAATGAATCGAAAACTGTTAAAATTCTTGTTAATTTCACTTCCACTATTAGTTAGTTTAATAAGGATTTTTTTATTTCTTTTTTTATTTTTTTATTTAATTTTTTCACTTATTTTATTATTTTTGTTTGTTGTTTTCTGTGTATCTTATTAAACAAATCTATTCGAGTGTAGAAGCACAACATCAAAATAAGAAAAAATCAGCCTTTTAAGTGCACTTAAGAACAACAACGACAGCGTCGACGGCGACGGCGACGGGAATGAGAGACAACAACAGCGTTACAGAGACCACGACCACGACTACGACTGCGACGAAAAACAGAAACTATCTGAAGTGGATTTACCGAAATTCACCGATGCACCACAGTTACCGTTAGTTGTACGATGTTAATGATTGCTGCATTTAGAGTTTAAATTTTAATTGATTTTTAATTATTTCAATTTCAATCAAATTTTTTTTTTAAACTTAAAATTTGGTGTTTTGTTTTTAGTCTTACTAATTAATTATTAATTAATTAATTTTAAAATTATTTTGTTGTCTAAATAAATTGCTTAATTAAAATTGCTGTTATTGTTCTCATTGTTTTTTCTTCATTATTTTATACGCATATCTTCTTCCTTTACTTCTGTGTGTTTTTGTGAGTTAATACATATATACGTGTATGCATGTATTTTTATGTATTTGCTTGTTGTGTACGTAGAAATGCGTTTGGAGTCTAAGTTTATTTTGCTAAAGAGAAAAAAATCACATGCACTTTTTTCTTATTTTTTATTAAATTTTTTCAATTTTTTTCCTTTTAAAATGCCTTTTATTTTTATTTTTTAATTTGAATCATTAATTGCGTTGCAATTTTTATTTCACATTTTAGAAAAGTGTGTTTGTATGATTAAATAATGCACACGCACTACGCAGCTATTGCTGCTGCTGCTGGGGCTGGTGCTTGTGCTCTAGTGCCGTTGTAATTATGCAATTTCCATAGAATTCGCTTAAATAATTGCAATTTTCTGTTTTTTCTTTTTAAACTTTTCTTCAACTTTTTTTCTAATACCACTTCATTGTTGCAACATTGCACGCTCTAAGGTTTTCGCATTGCTGTCTTTGCTGTTGCTGCTTCTGCTGGTCGCTGTGATACTTCCTTTTCCTTTAGACTTTTCGCTATTGCACAAGGATCCAACCGTACGCTCGGCAGCTGGAACGGTAACGCAATCGGCTGGCAATTGCATATAGTGCACTAACAACAACAACTATAAAT